CCCCTCTTTCCCCTCTTTCCCCTCTTTCCCCTCTTTCCCCTCTTTCCCCTCTTTCCCCTCTTTCCCCTCTTTCCCCTCTTCCCCTCTTTCCCCTCTTTCCCCTCTTTCCCCTCTTTCCCCTCTTTCCCCTCTTTCCCCTCTTTCCCCTCTTTCCCCTCTTCCCCTCTTTCCCCTCTTTCCCCTCTTTCCCCTCTTTCCCCTCTTTCCCCTCTTTCCCCTCTTTCCCCTCTTTCCCCTCTTTCCCCTCTTTCCCCTCTTTCCCCTCTTTCCCCTCTTTCCCCTCTTTCCCCTCTTTCCCCTCTTTCCCCTCTTTCCCCTCTTTCCCCTCTTTCCCCTCTTTCCCCTCCTTTCCCTCTTTCCCCTCTTTCCCCTCTTTCCCCTCTTTCCCCTCTTTCCCCTCTTTCCCCTCTTTCCCCTCTTTCCCCTCTTTCCCCTCTTTCCCCTCTTTCCCCTCTTTCCCCTCTTTCCCCTCTTTCCCCTCTTTCCCCTCTTTCCCCTCTTTCCCCTCTTCCCCTCTTTCCCCTCTTTCCCCTCTTTCCCCTCTTTCCCCTCTTTCCCCTCTTTCCCCTCTTTCCCCTCTTTCCCCTCTTTCCCCTCTTTCCCCTCTTTCCCCTCTTTCCCCTCTTTCCCCTCTTTCCCTCTTTCCCCTCTTTCCCTCTTTCCCTCTTTCCCCTCTTTCCCCTCTTTCCCCTCTTTCCCCTCTTTCCCCTCTTTCCCCTCTTTCCCCTCTTTCCCCTCTTTCCCTCTTTCCCCTCTTTCCCCTCTTTCCCCTCTTTCCCCTCTTTCCCCTCTTTCCCCTCTTTCCCCTCTTTCCCCTCTTTCCCCTCTTTCCCCTCTTTCCCCTCTTTCCCCTCTTTCCCCTCTTTCCCCTCTTTCCCCTCTTTCCCTCTTTCCCCTCTTTCCCCTCCTTCCCCTCTTTCCCCTCTTTCCCCTCTTTCCCCTCTTTCCCTCCTTCCCCTCTTTCCCCTCTTTCCCCTCTTTCCCCTCTTTCCCCTCTTTCCCCTCTTTCCCCTCTTTCCCCTCTTTCCCCTCTTTCCCCTCTTTCCCCTCTTTCCCCTCTTTCCCCTCCTTCCCCTCTTTCCCCTCTTTCCCCTCTTTCCCCTCTTTCCCCTCTTTCCCTCTTTCCCCTCCTTCCCCTCTTTCCCCTCTTTCCCCTCTTTCCCTCTTTCCCCTCTTTCCCCTCTTTCCCCTCTTTCCCCTCTTTCCCTCTTTCCCCTCTTTCCCCTCTTTCCCCTCTTTCCCCTCTTTCCCCTCTTTCCCCTCCTTCCCCTCTTTCCCCTCTTTCCCCTCTTTCCCTCCTTCCCCTCTTTCCCTCTTTCCCCTCTTTCCCCTCTTTCCCCTCTTTCCCCTCTTTCCCCTCTTTCCCCTCTTTCCCCTCTTTCCCCTCTTCCCCTCTTTCCCCTCTTTCCCCTCTTTCCCCTCTTTCCCCTCTTTCCCTCTTTCCCCTCTTTCCCCTCCTTCCCCTCTTTCCCCTCTTCCCCTCTTTCCCCTCTTTCCCTCTTTCCCCTCTTTCCCCTCTTTCCCCTCTTTCCCCTCTTTCCCCTCTTTCCCCTCTTTCCCCTCTTTCCCCTCTTCCCCTCTTTCCCCTCTTTCCCCTCTTTCCCCTCTTCCCCTCTTTCCCCTCTTTCCCCTCTTCCCCTCTTCCCCTCTTTCCCCTCTTTCCCCTCTTCCCCTCTTTCCCCTCTTTCCCCTCTTTCCCCTCTTTCCCCTCTTCCCCTCTTTCCCCTCTTTCCCCTCTTTCCCCTCTTTCCCCTCTTTCCCCTCTTTCCCCTCTTTCCCCTCTTTCCCTCTTCCCCTCTTTCCCCTCTTTCCCCTCTTTCCCCTCTTTCCCCTCTTTCCCCTCTTTCCCCTCTTTCCCCTCTTCCCTCTTCCCCTCCTTCCCCTCTTTCCCCTCTTTCCCCTCTTTCCCCTCTTTCCCCTCTTTCCCCTCTTTCCCCTCTTTCCCCTCTTTCCCCTCTTTCCCCTCTTTCCCCTCTTTCCCCTCTTTCCCCTCTTTCCCCTTCCTTCCCCTCTTTCCCCTCTTTCCCCTCTTTCCCCTCTTTCCCCTCTTTCCCCTCTTTCCCCTCTTTCCCCTCTTCCCCTCTTTCCCCTCTTTCCCTCTTTCCCCTCTTTCCCTCTTTCCCCTCTTTCCCCTCTTCCCCTCTTCCCCTCTTTCCCCTCTTTCCCCTCTTTCCCCTCTTTCCCTCTTTCCCCTCTTTCCCTCTTTCCCCTCTTTCCCCTCTTTCCCCTCTTTCCCCTCCTTCCCCTCTTTCCCCTCTTTCCCCTCTTTCCCCTCTTTCCCCTCTTTCCCCTCTTCCCCTCTTTCCCCTCTTTCCCCTCTTTCCCCTCTTTCCCTCTTCCCCTCTTTCCCCTCTTTCCCCTCTTTCCCCTCTTTCCCCTCTTTCCCCTCTTTCCCCTCTTTCCCCTCTTTCCCCTCTTTCCCCTCTTTCCCCTCTTTCCCCTCTTTCCCCTCTTTCCCTCTTTCCCCTCTTTCCCCTCTTTCCCTCTTCCCCTCTTTCCCCTCTTTCCCCTCTTTCCCTCTTTCCCCTCTTTCCCCTCTTTCCCCTCTTTCCCCTCTTTCCCTCCTTCCCTCTTCCCCTCTTTCCCCTCTTTCCCCTCTTTCCCCTCTTTCCCCTCCTTCCCCTCTTTCCCCTCTTTCCCCTCTTTCCCCTCTTTCCCCTCTTTCCCCTCTTTCCCCTCTTTCCCCTCTTCCCCTCTTTCCCTCTTTCCCCTCTTTCCCCTCTTTCCCCTCTTTCCCCTCTTTTCCCCTCTTTCCCTCTTTCCCCTCTTTCCCCTCTTTCCCCTCTTTCCCCTCTTTCCCCTCTTTCCCCTCCTTCCCCTCTTTCCCCTCTTTCCCCTCTTTCCCCTCTTTCCCCTCTTTCCCCTCTTTCCCTCTTTCCCCTCTTTCCCCTCTTTCCCCTCTTTCCCCTCTTTCCCCCTCTTTCCCCTCTTTCCCCTCCTTCCCCTCTTTCCCCTCTTTCCCCTCCTTCCCCTCTTTCCCCTCTTTCCCCTCTTTCCCCTCTTTCCCCTCTTTCCCCTCTTTCCCCTCTTTCCCCTCTTTCCTCTTCCCTCTTTCCCCTCTTTCCCCTCTTTCCCCTCTTTCCCCTCTTCCCCTCCTTCCCCTCTTTCCCCTCTTTCCCCTCTTTCCCCTCTTTCCCCTCTTTCCCCTCTTTCCCCTCTTCCCCTCTTTCCCCTCTTTCCCCTCTTTCCCCTCTTTCCCCTCTTTCCCCTCCTTCCCCTCTTTCCCCTCTTTCCCCTCTTTCCCCTCTTTCCCCTCTTTCCCCTCTTTCCCCTCTTTCCCCTCTTTCCCCTCTTTCCCCTCTTTCCCCTCTTTCCCCTCTTTCCCCTCTTCCCCTCTTTCCCCTCTTTCCCCTCTTTCCCCTCTTTCCCCTCTTCCCCTCTTTCCCCTCTTTCCCCTCTTTCCCCTCTTTCCCCTCTTTCCCCTCTTTCCCCTCTTTCCCCTCTTTCCCCTCTTTCCCCTCTTTCCCCTCTTTCCCCTCTTTCCCCTCTTTCCCCTCTTTCCCCTCCTTCCCCTCTTTCCCCTCTTTCCCCTCTTTCCCCTCTTCCCTCTTTCCCCTCTTCCCCTCTTTCCCCTCTTTCCCCTCTTTCCCCTCTTCCCCTCTTTCCCCTCTTTCCCCTCCCTCTTTCCCCTCTTTCCCTCTTTCCCCTCTTCCCTCTTCCCCTCTTTCCCCTCTTTCCCCTCTTTCCCCTCTTCCCCTCTTCCCCTCTTTCCCCTCTTTCCCCTCTTTCCCCTCTTTCCCCTCTTCCCTCTTCCCTCTTTCCCCTCTTTCCCCTCTTCCCCTCCTTCCCCTCTTCCCCTCTTTCCCTCTTCCCCTGCTTTTCCCCTCTTTCCCCTCTTTCCCCTCTTTCCCCTCTTTCCCCTCCTTCCCCTCTTTCCCCTCTTTCCCCTCTTTCCCCTCTTTCCCCTCTTTCCCCTCTTTCCCCTCTTTCCCCTCTTTCCCCTCTTTCCCCTCCTTTCCCCTCTTTCCCCTCCTTTCCCCTCTTCCCTCTTCCCTCTTTCCCCCTCCCTTTCCCCTCTTTCCCCTCTTCTCCTCCTCCCCTCTTTCCCCTCTTTCCCCTCTTTCCTTTCCCCTCTTTCCCCTCTTTCCCCTCTTTCCCCTCTTTCCCCTCTTTCCCCTCCTTTCCCCTCTTTCCCCTCTTTCCCCTCTTTCCCCTCTTTCCCCTCTTTCCCCTCTTTCCCCTCTTTCCCCTCTTTCCCCCTCCTTCCCCCTCTTTCCCCTCTTTCCCTCTTTCCCCTCTTTCCCCTCTTTCCCTCTTTCCCCTCTTTCCCCTCTTTCCCTCTTTCCCCTCTTTCCCCTCTTTCCCCTCTTTCCCCTCTTCCCCTCTTTCCCCTCTTTCCCCTCTTTCCCCTCTTTCCCCTCTTTCCCCTCTTTCCCCTCTTTCCCCTCTTTCCCCTCTTTCCTCTCCTTTCCTTCCACCCCTTGCTCATACTCCCCTGCTTGCTCCCCAAAAGCGGGGCAACAGCAGCTCCAGGCGCGTTCACGGCAGCAATATACGTGTACGGGTCAACACTGATTCTTAAAGTGCTTCGTGTCCATTCAACCTTCCCTCACCTTTCTTGCCCCACACACACTCCCTCTTCACCCTACCCACACTCCCCGTGTTTGCTTCCCCAAGGGCTGGGCCTCAGCAGCACTGGGCGCGTTCAGGGCAGCAACAGACGTGTACGGGCGGGCAGTGAGGCTGTTCCCCCAGGAGGGCGCGCTGTGGCGCGAGAAGGGGTGCTCTCACAAGGAGCTGGGGGAGGTGGTGCTGGCCCGGGAGTGCCTGGAGAAGGCTGTTGCTGTGGAGAGGTGAGATGCGAGAGGGTTAGGGAGCCCTAAGCTTAGAGCGTATGTGAGCGTTAGGTGGAGGTGGGAGATTGATGAGGAAGGCACAAGGAGGTGGGGGAGGTGGAACTGGCCCGGGAGTGCCTGGAGAAGGCTGTTGCTGTGGAGAGGTGAGGAAGATGAGCTGAGGAGTGAGAGAGGGGTGAGGTGAGAAGGGCTGCTGCAATAGAGAGGTGAGGAGGAACGAGAGGAGGAGCTGGGGGAGGTGGCGCTGGCGCGGGAGTGCCTGGAGAAGGCTGTTGCCATGGAGAGGTGAGGAGGGTGAGGAAAGAGGGTTAGGGAACTCTAAGATTTGGCCTAAGGTGAGCGTTAAGGGGGGGGAGGAGATGTTGAGGCAGGGGCAAGGAGCTGGGGGAGGTGGTGCTGGCCCGGGCGTGCCTGGAGAAGGCTGTTGCTGTGGAGAGGTGAGGAGGGAGAGGGGAGAGAGAGGATAAGAGTGCTGGGCAGAGAGGGGGAGACTGCCAAGGAACAGGGGTGCTCCCAAAAGGCGCTGGGGGAGGTGGTGCTGGCCCGCGAGGTGGTGCTGGCCCGGGAGGCTGTTGCTGTGGAGAGGTGAGGAGGGAAGAGGTAAGGGAAGAGGTAAGGGAAGAGGTAAGGGGAGGTGAGGGGAGGTGAGGGCTGAAAAGAGGGGGCAGATCGCCAAGGAGGGCAAAAAAAGTGAGGAGGGAGGTAGTGCTGACACGAACGTGCCTGGAAAAGGCTGTTGTGGTGGAGAGGTGAGGAGGGTGAGAGAGAGGGGACGCAATGGCTGGGCTGGGGAGGAGATGGTTGAGAGGAAGGCACAAGGGGCTGGGGTAAGTGATTATGGTTTTAAGTCGACTCAAAACGCGTCACAAGGAGTTGGGAGAGGGGGTGCTGTGCTGGCCTGGAAGTGCCTGGAAGAGGCTGTTGCAGTGGAGAGGTGAACACTGAGCACCTTCCCATCTGTCATACCCATAGAACCTTCCCATTTCCACATAGCGCCGAGCACCTTCCGAGCACCTTCCGAGCACCTTCCGAGCACCGTCCTGTTAGAACTTGAGCTTAGAATCCATGCATTACTAATGAGCTTAAGGCTCTTTAAGTACATTGGAAATGGGCAAGGTAAGGGTGGGGAGAGAATCGGGGGCAATCCTAGGGAATTGGGGGTAATCCCAAGGCAATCTCCAATTGGTGGGTTGGAGATTGCTTGGAGATCACATTTGGGTTTGGTTGGGTTGTGGGTGTACACCCAACCAAACACAAAGTGCAAACTACACTAAACTAGGATGGGGATGAGCAAGGTGGCGAACACCTGTTCGGTTCGCCTCGAACCAAGGCGAACCGAACAGGTTTTGTTTTTCAGCTTAAATCGTTCGCCCGAACGTGTTCGAGGTTCGCCCGAACACGTTCGTGTTCGTGGCGCTGCTGCAGAACGCCCCGTGGCGAACACGAACGTGTTCGAGGTTCGCCCGAACACGCCTCCACAGGCGAACAGCGAACACCTGTTTTTGCCTAAACTGTTCGCCGAACCGAACAGTGTTCGGTTCGGCAAAAGAGGGTGTTCGAGAAGGGGCGAACACGAACATGTTCGTGTTCGCCCTTTGCTCATCCCTAAACTAGGATATAAAAAGTACAAGTACAAATGTGAGATTGAGGACTAACATTAACACGTCCCACATAGCAACTTCGCACATAGCACCTTCCCACTGACCCAACAGGTAATGTGCACAGCACACGTGGCACAACTCTCCTCCCATTGCACCTACCTTCTACTCTCTTCCTCCACTCCCATCTCTACTCAAAGGCTGTCCACATTCGCATGTATGTACATCACGTCTCATCTCCCTTGTAACTCACGTCTCATCTCCCTTGTAACTCACGTCTCATCTCCCTTGTAACTCACGTCTCATCTCCCTTGTAACTCACGTCTCATCTCCCTTGTAACTCACGTCTCATCTCCCTTGTAACTCACGTCTCATCTCCCTTGTAACTCACGTCTCATCTCCCTTGTAACTCACGTCTCATCTCCCTTGTAACTCACGTCTCATCTCCCTTGTAACTCACGTCTCATCTCCCTTGTAACTCACGTCTCATCTCCCTTGTAACTCACGTCTCATCTCCCTTGTAACTCACGTCTCATCTCCCTTGTAACTCACGTCTCATCTCCCTTGTAACTCACATTTCATCTCCTCTAAACTCGCATCTCTTTCCCCCTTGACTCATTCCTTCCTGCCCTCCCGTTAACACCTTACACCGATCCATCAGAGATCTGGAGAACTATCACAAGCTCGCTCTGCTGCACATGCACACAGGCAAGCCCAGGTGAGCTTTGTATCAAGCCTTTTTTTAGGAGCCCAGGTGAGTTTCGTATTGTATCTACTTCTGTCACCTTTTGGGTCGACTCGAAAGGCGTCTGAGAACTATCACAAGCTCGCTCTGCCATGTCACCCTTGGGCCTTTGGATATTTTGGGTATACTCTCCGCACAACAATCCTAAATCCCCCCATCCGCCCTCTCTCGCCTCCTCTGCTGCATTAGAGACACCAGGCAGAGGAGAATGACCCCAAGCTGTGCCTTTTCCCCTTCACTCCTCCTCCCATTGCTCTCTCCCACCCTCCCCTCTCTCCCCACGCACCAGGCAAGCTCTGGAGGTGGCAGGGGAGGGGCTTCAGCTCTTCCCTCAGAGCACCAATCTGCACTACCTTTCTGCCTCCGCCCACCACGCCCTCGCTAACTTCTCGGCTGCTGTACGCATGCCCCACTCCCTCTCCCCCTGATTTTCTTAGTCAACTATAATAATCTAACCTCTCTGTTGCCTTGTCTATGCAAGAATGAGAGAGAGGGATTTAGCCTCTTCCCTCCTAGCCTCTTTCAGAGGCAGTTGTTTACTCCCTTCCCTGTCTTTCGTTCCCGTGCTGCCCACCAGGCACGGCACTACAGCACGGTGCTGGCTCTGGGAGGGCGGTCGCAGGAGGAGAACGCGCAGCTGTACCACAACCTTGCCTTCTACCAGGTCAGGCCTTGCAAGCCCCCTTCTTACTTTTGAGGAGACATCTCAAACGCGCAGCTGTACCACAACCTTGCCTTCTACCAGGTCAGGCAACGCGTTTTGAGGCGCTTTGCCCTCCCTTGTCCTTACGAGCTGAAAACCGCAGTTGCACCACAACCTAGGCTTCTACCAGGTCAGGCAACACGAGCCACCACGTCCTCGTCTTTCAGGGAAGGCCCAGCCCAGCTGTTCTCCTTCTTCTACTCTTATTTCCTTCTTTGTTCCCCAGCCCAACCGTGGAGGAACTGTTAGGAGAGGCCCACCCTTGAATAAATGCCCTCGTCCCTCTAGAACCGTGGATGTTCCCCTCAGTACCATGGTCAGTAAGGTGGACGAACCGACCAGCCAGCGAGCGCAGCTGGCAGGCAGGCATGCAGGGGGCCGTTGCGGCTTTGAGTCGATGCTAAAGTCACTTCGGAAGATGGGGTAAACTGGAAAAGAAATGGGGCAGGAAACTTCGGAAACGTTTTTTCACTGGCCCAGCGCGATTTTGGAGTTGACGTTTAGAAACGAAATAAAAGCAGACCTCAATTTAGGAACATTAAGAGGGTTGGAATGGGAACCAGCCCGGTTGAAGAATCATGGCCCTGATGCTTCATTCACTGCACCAAAAACTATAACTCTTGGATACATGTGTAGCAGCCATAGCTACAACACCCGTGTTGTTGCAGTTGGTTTTTGGGGATTCTCAGAAGCCACTCGCCACAGCCACACACTAGTTTCCGTCGTTGATCTTTCTTGCACTGCTATGGGTGCTTTGTCAAAGCATTGTCCGTCTTTTCTTGCCTCTTTCCCTGTTGTCTGTCACACAGAGGGAGGTAGCGGCCTACACGCGTGCGTCTCTCGCCCGTCCCTTCACAGCGTTCAGCATCGATTCTCACCTGCACTCCGCCCTGCTGGTCAGCTCCCACCCGTCTTCCCTCATCCTCTTCACTTCTGGTCTCTGTGGCCCTTCATTCTTCTCTTCCCCCTCCCCCCTCCCCCTCCTCAATCTCTCCTCCGCCCTTCACCTCATCCTCCTCCTTCCGGCCTCCCTCGTTCCTGTCTGAATCTTCTCCATTCTCTCTTGAGACGTCTCACAGTCATTCATTATCTGCCCATTCTTCACCTCTCTTCTATCATGTGACACACCTCTCTATGTTTGCTTTTGGAAAATTGCATGGCCTTCAGGCTTCCCTCACTTGCCACCCGCGCCTCTTGTCAATTTTCAAAACGTCCCAAAACTTACCCCTCCTACCCCACCCCATAGCCCGTCCTCCTCTCTCCCCGTTCTTCTGTTCAACAGGAACATCAAAATCAACATCAACAGTAACATCAACAGTAACATCAACAGTAACATCAACAGTAACCTCAGCAGTAACCTCAACAGTAACATCAACAGTAACATCAACAGCAACGTCAACATCAACATCAACATCAACATCAACATCAACATCAACATCAACATCAACATCAACATCAACATCAACATCAACATCAACATCAACATCAACATCAACATCAACATCAGCATCAACATCAACATCAACATCAACATCAACATCAACATCAACATCAACATCAACATCAACATCAACATCAACATTAACATCAACATCAGCATCAGCATCAACATCAACATCAACATCAACATCAGCATCAACATCAACAGTAATATCAACATCAACATCAGCATCAACATCACCCTCCAGCCCTGCTCTCCTCTCCCTCTCCCCCTCCCTCCCCACCCATTCATGTCTTCAACGCAGGAAGCATGGATGAGAAAAGAGCCTCACCAGCTGCTGCCCCCCTCTGTTGTCCGATACACAACCGAGAAACAGCTCCGGCAGCAACAAAAGCAGCGCCAGCAGCAGGAGCAGGAGGCAGAGCTATCAGAGGAGGCATTGGCTCTGGTGGAGAAAGCAGACGAGCTGGGGCCTCGAGCCATGTACCGTGTGGGGGGCTTCCTGCACGACCCACGCAAGGTGCGGTGCGGTGCGAATGGGTTCGACAGGATGGAACGCGGTGGGATGGTCCAAGTGGGCCGTGCGGAGTATGCGTTGTGTGGTCCAGGTTAAGGTTTTCTATTCCTTTCTTTCCTCTTTACCTCTTCCATCTTTCCTTCGTCTGAACTTTTCAGCCCTGTCCCTCTCGCCCACTCCTTGACTCTCTCCCTCCCTGCCCCCTGCTCCCAGCTGCGCATGGCGGGGCTAGCAGCGATGGACGTGATGCAGCGGGTGCGAGGCACGCCTCTCTTCCACCCTTTTTTCCTCAATGCTTACATACCGCATCTCATCCCCCCTCTCCCACCAGCTGCGCATGGCGGGGCTAGCAGCGCTGGACGTGATGCAGCGGGCCAGCAGCGCGTGGCAGGCCATGCTGGAGCAGGAGGAGGAGGAGGAGGAGGAGGAGGAGGAGGAGGAGGAGGAGGAGGAGGAGGAGGAGGAGGAGGAGGAGGAGGAGGAGCAGTCCGAGGGGGATAGCAGCAGGGGTAGTGAGGACGGCAGCACGGAGGGAAGCAGTGGCGAAAGCGGGCAGGGCGAGCAGCAGCAGGAGGAGGAGGAGGAGAAGAGGAGTTGGGCGAGGAGAGGGGGATGGAGAGACACGTTCCAGGCGATTGTGCAGTGGAGGCAGATTGCCGACCCTATAGACTCTGTCACTTGGATCCAAGACAAGTGAGTCTGCCTGACAGTCAGACAGTCAGCCAGACAGACAGTCAGCCAGACAGACAGTCAGCCAGACAGTCAGTCAGCCAGACAGACAGTCAGCCAGACAGACAGTCAGCCAGACAGACAGTCAGCCAGACAGACAGTCAGCCAGACAGACAGTCAGCCAGACAGACAGTCAGCCAGACAGACAGTCAGCCAGACAGACAGTCAGCCAGACAGACAGTCAGCCAGACAGACTGTCAGCCAGACAGTCAGTCAGCCAGACAGACAGTCAGCCAGACAGACAGTCAGCCAGACAGACAGTCAGCCAGACAGACAGTCAGCCAGACAGACAGTTAGCCAGACAGTCAGTCAGCCAGACAGACAGTCAGCCAGACAGTCAGTCAGCCAGACAGTCAGTCAGCCAGACAGTCAGTCAGCCAGACAGTCAGTCAGGCAGACAGACAGTCAGCCAGACAGACAGTCAGCCAGACAGACAGTCAGCCAGACAGACAGTCAGCCAGACAGACAGTCAGCCAGACAGACAGTCAGCCAGACAGTCAGTCAGCCAGACAGTCAGTCAGCCAGACAGTCAGTCAGCCAGACAGTCAGTCAGCCAGACAGTCAGTCAGCCAGACAGTCAGTCAGCCAGACAGTCAGTCAGCCAGACAGACAGTCAGCCAGACAGACAGTCAGCCAGACAGTCAGTCAGCCAGACAGACAGTCAGCCAGACAGACAGTCAGCCAGACAGTCAGTCAGCCAGACAGTCAGTCAGCCAGACAGTCAGTCAGCCAGACAGACAGTCAGCCAGACAGTCAGTCAGCCAGACAGTCAGTCAGCCAGACAGTCAGTCAGCCAGACAGTCAGTCAGCCAGACAGACAGTCAGGCAGACAGACAGTCAGCCAGACAGTCAGCCAGACAGTCAGTCAGCCAGACAGTCAGTCAGCCAGACAGTCAGTCAGCCAGACAGACGGTCAGCCAGACAGACAGTCAGCCAGACAGACAGTCAGCCAGACAGTCAGTCAGCCAGACAGACAGTCAGCCAGACAGACAGTCAGCCAGACAGTCAGTCAGCCAGACAGACAGTCAGCCAGACAGTCAGTCAGCCAGACAGTCAGTCAGCCAGACAGTCAGTCAGCCAGACAGGCAGTCAGCCAGACAGTCAGTCAGCCAGACAGACAGTCAGCCAGACAGTCAGTCAGCCAGACAGTCAGTCAGCCAGACAGTTAGTCAGGCAGTCAGTCAGAGATTTAGCTAGCCAGAAGCCATTGAGGAGACGTGCATGGAGGGACATGTTCCAGGCGATTGTGCAGTGGAGGCAGATAGCTGACCCGATAGGCGATTGTGACCCTGTCACAAGTGAGTCTGCCAGCTAGTGAGCCTGTCGGTCGGTCATTCAGTCAGTCAGTCAGTCAGTCAGTCAGTCAGTCAGTCAGTCAGTCAGTCAGTCAGTCAGTCAGTCAGTCAGTCAGTCAGTCAGTCAGTCAGTAAGTCAGTCAGTCAGTCAGTCAGTCAGTCATTCAGTCAGTCAGTCAGTCAGTCAGTCAGTCAGTCAGTCAGTCAGTCAGTCAGTCAGTCAGTCAGTCAGTCAGTCAGTCAGTCAGCTCCCCACTTCTCTACCCCTCCTCTCCTCCCACCTCCCTCCCCCCTGCCACTCCCCCACCTCTCTCCCCCACCTCTCTCCCCCATCTCGCTCCCCCATCTCGTTCCCCCACCACTCTCCCTCACCTCTATCTATCCCCCACCTCTCTCCACCACTCTCCCTGGCAGCAAGGAGAGCTACGGCAGTCACGTGGCGGCAACGCCTATAGTGGATGGGCAGATGGACAACTTCAAGTACTTTCAGTTCCATGACAGGTGCGTGGATGCGTGGGTTCAAGGGTGCATGGTGGATGGTTCGTGTTGTATCGGTGAATATGAGTGCATGGTGGATGGTGCATGGTGGATGGTGCATGGTGGATGGTGCATGGTGGATGGGCAGATGGACAACTACAAGTACTTTCAGTTCCATGACAGGTGCGTGGACGCATGGGTGCATGGACAGATGATGTATGCGAGCATGAGTGCATGGGTGCATGGTGGTGTATGGTGCATGGGTGCATGGTGCATGGTGGTGTATGGTGCATGGGTGCATGAGTGCATGGGTGCATGAGTGCATGGGTGCATGGGTGCATGGATGGATGATGTTTACGCGCATGAGTGCGTGGTGAGTGCATGGTGCGTGCATGACATGCATGGTGCATGCCGCGCCCATGCATGGGTGAGAAGGTAAATTATCCTCTCACCCTCAGCCCTTCAGCCTCTCACCACCTTCCTGTGTATGCCCCAATCCGTTCTACGCACAGCCATACCCACTCTCCCTTCCCCTCCCGTCTCACTATCATCCCCACACAGGGCCTTTGCCCTGATAAAGGACCGGCTACTCACCACACGCTCAGCAACAGCAGCCTCTGGCGCCCCCAGCATACCCCTCTCTGCCTCCGTTCTTAAGAAGGTGCTTGTCCCTCTGTCTTCCTGCCTTCTCTCCTTGCCTACCTGCCTCTCTCTTGCTTCTCTCTCTGCCTGCCTCCCTTTCCCTCTGCCTGCCTCCCTCTACCTTGCACCCCCTTCACAACTTCACGTCTCACCTTTCCCTGCTGTTCTGTGCTGTACGTGCCCGGTGGAGTGCGGCTCTTCTCTGTGGTGCGGTGGCATGGGCAGGTGCGGAAAGCAGCAGGGCTGAGAGAGCTACATGCAGCAGTGGGGAGGGACTTCTACGTCCAACTGCCATGCCACAGCCAAGCCCACCCAGGGTGAGTTCTGAGTCCGCTCCGCTCAAAAGTCGACTTTCACCACGTGCAACCGTAATGCTGCAGCCAGGCCAAGCCAGTGTCAGGCCCATGCTCGTGTCTGTGCTGGCGTGAAGGCCAGTGGTGCGAGGACCAGGTAAGTAGTGTGCGTGTGTGCGTGCGTACGTGCGTGCGTGCCTGTGTATGTGCAGATGGGACATGGTAACATCGACTTCTCTCACTCGGGCTCTCTGCGCCCTCTCTTTGTACCTCACCATGCCTATTGGGTGCACCAAGGTTGCATCATATGTCCACCATGAGCGAATCGTCTTGTGTGCATTCTCTGCACTCTCCCCTCTCCCTCTCTCATCCCAGACACCCCCTTATCCATTCCGTCATCTGTGGCATGTGTTGGATTCACCCCTTTATCTCTCTGCATGCACCCACCACCACCACATCTCATTTGCTCTTCGAACCTGATTTACTTTCCCCCGCTCCCCCGTGCCTCAACATGCCACAGCAAGGATATTGGTGGGATTCAGCTCGCCTTAGTCCACGTGTAAGTCTGCACACTTCAGAGCAGTGTGCTTCTCTCATGCGCTCTCTCTCACCTCTCTTACTCACCCTTTCCCTGCATTGCTCCATTCTACCATGCATATGCAAACGCAAACGCACATGCACGCGCGCACGCGCACGTGCGCACACACGCACTCTCACACGCGCACCCCGCATCTCACATGCACACTTCATTGCTTGCATCATTCCTCGTCTCCCCACAGCCCCCCAGGCCCCTAACCCCCACTCGCTCATGCAGTCCTATTCCTCTCCCTCACCACATGGATATGCTTCCTTTCTCACTTGCCCTCCACCTCTCCACAACCCCTCCCCTTCTCCAAAACCCCCTCCCCTTCTCCAAAACCCCCTCCCCTTCTCCAAAACCCCCTCCCCTTCTCCAAAACCCCCTTTCCTTCTCCAAAACCCCCTCCCCTTCTCCAAAACCCCCTCCCCTTCTCCAAAACCCCCTCCCCTTCTCCAAAACCCTCTCCCCTTCTCCAAAACCCCCTCCCCTTCTCCAAAACCCCCTCCCCTTCTCCAAAACCCCCTCCCCTTCTCCAAAACCCCCTCCCCTTCTCCAAAACCCCCTCCCCTTCTCCAAAACCCCCTCCCCTTCTCCAAAACCCCCTCCCCTTCTCCAAAACCCCCTCCCCTTCTCCAAAACCCCCTTCCCTTCTCCCCAACCCCCTTCCCTTCTCCCCAACCCCCTCCCCCTCAACCCTCGCTTTACCCCTTCTCCTCACCCCTCCCCTCGCCCCTCTCTACCCACAATCGTTCTCCCTGACTACGCCTCTTCTCTCTGCCCGGCTCTGCCCCTCGTGTGTGTCGGTGCAGCCCCCCTGGGTTTGTGTTTGCCATTCGCATCGGCCTCTCGCCACAGCGATGGAAGGACTTCCATTCTGAGATGGACGCAGCCTGGCAGGTACAGTACGCTCAGGGGGGTGAGAGAGGTTGGGGTTGATTCAGGAAAGGTGCCTCATGTGTGTGCCTAACCCCCCCCCCCCCCCCCCCCCCCTTCCCGCGGCCTTGTGTGCGCCCATTTGCATTGGCCTCTCTCACCACAACACTTGAATAATCCCATGCTGAGAGTTTTTGAGAATTCTAAAAAACTCCCTGTAATTCCATGCTGAGATGAGATGGACGCAGCCTGACAGGTACGAATACGAATCTCTCTCCACACTCTCACCCAACAAGTTCTCTCGCGTCGTTCCTCCCCCGTCCTTTATCCATTATCCCCCGCCCACCGTCCTCCCCTCCCTATGCCCCTCATCTGCCCCCGCCTCACCCCTCCACTGTCACCCATGCTTGGTCCAGGCACTAGGAACAGCAGTCGTGGAGGCGAGGAGAACACAGGGAGCAGCAGGAGGGGCAGGCGCAGGCAGCGACACACAAAAGTCTTACAAGACGCACATGCCACACAGGACACAAATACCAGTGGTGCAGAGGCAGAAGGTTCAGCGTGCCATTCTAGACCTCGCCTTTTATTGGTCAGTGTCCCCTCCCACCGCTGGGCAAGGTGGCCCGTGAGTCCACACACAAGGCAGTCACCTTGGCGCTGGGCGCGCTATTCTAGACCCGGCATTCTTTGTATCCATGATTCCTGGGCACAGGCAAGGTGAGGATAGGGATCTCCCTTCTTGCACAGGCAAGAGGGCACAGGCACAGGACCATCACACCCTTCTTCACTCAACCAAACCCTTTTCCTCCCCCATGCAGCCTCCGCAGCCTCCGTGCTCAGCTCAGCTTCCTTCCCCCCTTTCCCCCGTTCAACCCCTTTTTCCCCCTTCCCCACCTCTCCCTTCTCCCCTTTTTCCCCAAATCCCCCCTCCCCCTCCCCCACCCATCCCCCCCCCCAGGTACCACCTGTTGCCGCTGTCAAGAGGGTCCGCCATGGTGGGGTGGATCTCCCTGCTGGGTCTATCCATTGCCGCTGGTTGGCGCACCATTCGTCCCCCCTGCCCTCCTTTCCCCCTCCCCCTCTCCCTCCCCCCCACCCTCCCCCTCCCCCTCCCACAGGTACCACCTGTTGCCGCTGTAAAGAGGGTCCGCCATGGTGGGGTGGATCTTGGTGCTGGTGGCTTGCACACCACTTTTTCTCCCCTTGTCACCCATTCCCCCCTCTCCTCCGTTTCCCCCCTTCCCTCTTCCCCCCCGTCCCCCGACCCCCGCAGGTACCACCTGTCGCCTCTTTCAAGGGGATCAGCCATGGTGGGGTGGGTCTCCCTGCTGGGTCTATCCATTGCTGCTGGCTGGCACACCACATTTTCCCCCTTTCCCCCAATCCCCCCTTCCCTCTTTCCCCCCCCTTTCCCCCAATCCCCCCTTCCCTCTTTCCCCCCCCCCTTCCCCCAATCCCCCCTTCCCTCTTTCCCCCCCCCCCTTCCCCCAATCCCCCCTTCCCTCTTGTCCCCCCTTTCCCCCATCCCCCGCAGGTACCACCTGTCGCCGCTGTCAAGGGGATCCGCAATGGTGGGGTGGGTCTCGGTGCTGGGTCTATCCATGGCTGCTGGCTTGCACACCACTGCGCTTGTTCCCGAGGGCATGCAGGTGAGACGATGTGTGGGGTGAGGTGAGGCGTGCAGGTGAGGTGAAGCGACGTGTAAATAGGGTAATTTTGAGACGTCTCAAAATTACCCTTTTTACACAAAGGTGAGGTGAGGCGTAAAGGTGAGATGACGTGAGATGAGGCGTGCAGGTGAGATGAGGCGTGCAGGTGAGATGAGGCGTGCAGGTGAGATGAGGCGTGCAGGTGAGGTGAGGCGTGCAGGTGAGGTGAGGCGTGCAGGTGAGTTGAGACATGCCCGGGTGTGGTTGAAATGCTTGGTGTGTGCAACATTCTAAGGTCTGTTTGTGTGCATGATGGTCTGCTTTATCTGCGCATTCACTCACTCGTGTGTGTATTCACACACTTGCTCGCTCTCTCACGGCCGCTCACAGATGTGGGCATGTATGGATGTGCTTTAGCATGCACCCATGCACACATATGGACACGTAGACCGAACCCCACATAAACTGTTGTATGCACTCCCCCACACCACATGGACATGCACTCGAGAGTGCACACACACACGCACAGACAGACACGCACCCACACACATACCCGCACACACACCCACACAGACCACTCAGACCCACTCACTAACACACACTCGCCCACACGCACACGCACACATACACACACCCACACCCACGTGTCACACACACCAACACACACACGTGTTACACACACGCACACACACAATTACACATTCACACACACACGCGCACACACACATGCACACACACAATTACACATTCACACACACATGCGCACACACACACGCACACACACACACACACACACGCGCACACACACACACACACACACACACACACACACACACACGCACGCACGTACGCAACCACACACACTCACACACTCACTGACCCACCCATACACACATCAAAGAAGGTTTGAAGTACTGCAGTTTTCGTGAGTGATTATCACTCCATGCCACCACCAGCTAAGCAACCATCCAATCTCTATCCTCTCTTCCCCCTCCACCCCTCCCTCCTCCCCGTCTGACCTATCCGTGTCTCCCCTCAGGTGGACTGGGAGGCCATGCTAGTCCCCGACTCAGCAGCATTCAATGCCACCATTGCTTCCTGGCTCTTCTCCTCCGCGCAACAGCCACCTTGGGACCTTCCCAATGTGCACCATGCCCTTCCCACCACTCACCACGTGCTTGCTGCCCTCAACCTGTAGCTAGATGGGATGCACATTCAACGTGGTGGTTTTGACAAAATCTGGTTGGGGGTTGGCGAGATAATGTTGCCCGGGCGGAAAGAAAACAAAAGAAAGCAAGAAAGAAAATTGTAAGCGAGCACTTGTGACAAAAATGAGTCTGACAAATGGAGGCAAGTTACGGTATTAACTAATATCTAAAGATACACTGTATAGCCTCCGAAACATCGCCAGTAACTGTGGCAGTTAGCCAGTATTCATCTGCAGAAGAGCTAAGGTTCGGGGGAAAGACTCTCTGGTAATTTTATCTAAAGAACGTTGAGTGTAATTTTGGAGCTTCATAGCACGTGCGGTACTGTACATTTCATCCAGGCGCATGAAAGTTTGGTCTGTTCCTTCGCGAACGAACCACCAAGAGCATCGATTTTGTTCACCACGTTTTTTATACGCAGCCCGAAGATTCCGGATCGCCAAACCTTGTCTGGCAGACAGAGCGAATCATTACGCAACACTAGTCCAATCTGTTTTAGATACATTGGGGTATATATAGCAGGGGGGTTTTGGGGGGCACGCAAGGGGGCCCTTTTTGGGCGGGGACCTGCGCGGGACGGTAGCACTACCGAGTTCGGCCGGCCCACGGTGGCGTGGTCCCAGCGCTACTGGATGGAACACACCCTAGAAAACGCATCGGTAACCCGATGCTTGACAACTGCCTATTCGCTGCTGCTCCCCCGAAACTGCACGACGAGAACATTGGGGGAACGTCACGTGTGCACGTGGCATTTTGTGATTCTTTCTATGCTGCCATCGTGTCATCACGTGGCTGTTCTGGATTCGTGGCGAACTATACGCGAAAAATGCACAAGTAGTTCAGCTGGCAAGCCCCGAAACCACGCATGGGAATTTATCGCGGGAATTTAACTTGGTTATGACCCGCGGAATTTTCACGTTGTTTTTTTTTTTTTTTTTTTTTTTTTTTTTTTTTTTTTCCCGCGCGTATTCTACGCGAGTTTTACACGTGGGTATTTCTGCGGATACTGCTCGTGGGATTTTTTTTGCATTAAAAAATGCGGGTGTGCACGTACTAGACCTGCTCTAGCTCTTACCAGAAACAAATTGCTACATAAAAAACAAATTGTTACCTTTTGAGCTAGCAATTTGTTTCTGGTAAGAGCTAGAGCAGGTCCAGTACGTGCACACCCGCATATTTACTACAGGAGGATCATGGCCTTGTTGTCAGCAAACAAGGTCGGTGCAGAGCGAGGCCGCTCACCAAGGCCGGCGAGCAAGAAGTTCAACCAGCGAAGATCCTGCGCAGCTATGGCACCAGCATAGATCTCTGCCTCTGCACTGGATGAAGCCACAGACGACGACCGAGTAGCCCTTCGCGACACAGCTCCAGCGCCCAAGCTGAAGCAGTACCCCTGAGTGGACCTTTGTGTCTCCACGTCGTCGGCGTAGGAGTCGCAGTGACCGGTGAGAACAACTGGCTGTCTCCCTCCAAGCACAAGCCTCATGCCTGATGTAGTCGCCAGGTACTTCGCCACCCTCACAGCAGCTGTCCACTGAACAGGACGGTGTCTCCTAGTCGCAACAAAGCGAGAGGTGACGCTGAGAGGAAAGACGAGGACCGGACGAGTACAAGTCATCAGGTACATGAGGCAGCCCACAAGCTCTGCGTGTCAACGGGAGTTGTGGTTGGCCCCGTCCTCGCTTGGGCGGAACCGACTTCGTAGTCGGGTGTACGGGGAGCGCAGCCGATCATTTGCAGTGAGGGCGCCTAGTTGGAGGGCGCCGAGCAGGAGGACGCCGTCATGGGCACCTGGACGACGTCCTGGGCGCCTGGACGCCGACCTGGGCGCCTGGACGGCGTCCTGGGAGGTTGGACGCCGTCCTGGGCGCCTGGACGCCGACCTGGGCGCCTGGAAGGCGTCCTGGGAGGCTGGACGCCGACCTGGGCGTCTAGACGGCGTCCTGGGCGCGTGGACGCCGACCTGGGCATCTGGACGGCGTCCTGGGCGCCTGGACGGCGTCCTGGGAGGCTGGACGCCGACCTGGGCGCCTGGACGCCGACCTGGGCGCCTGGACGGCGTCCTGGGCGCGTGGACGCCGACCTGGGCGCCTGGACGGCGTCCAGGGAGGCTGGACGCCGACCTGGGCGCCTGGACGCCGACCTGGGCGTCTGCACGGCATCTTGGGCACCCGGACGCCGACCTTGGCATCTGGACGTCGACCTGGGTGCTGGGACACCTCTTCTGGGGACGCCGGTCTGGTGTAGCCAGCGTACGACTGGGCTGGGCGCCCAGGCGTGGTTGCCTGGTCGACCAAGTTACCCGGGCGACGAAGTTCTGCGGAGGTGTGCGACAGTCGCCCATGTGGTTTTGGCGAAGCCGACCTCGGTGGTGGTATCCCGAGGTCGACCTGGAGGATCAGGTGCAGACGTGGGCATGTGGTCGACTTGGCATCTGCGCTGTGCAGGTGACGAGGCACAGCACGCCAATCAAATGCGAGCACCTGCGAAGCGGGTGCGCTGCTGTCTTGTGGGTGCAACGCTGTGCTGCCGCCTTGCTGCAGCGTTGGCACGCCGTCGACTTGCAGCGTTGGCAGATCGCGACTTTGCACTGGTGGAGCGCGGTCGACCATGTCGTGCTGGAGCGTGGTCGACCGTGCTGCGCTGGCAGTCGACCTGCTTGCATGCTAGCCCGTGATGTAGACCGTGTTGCTTTGCCATTGTCAACTTTTGTTCTCAACTTTTGCTAGTGAAACTCTTGCAGTTTGTCCCTGTGAACGCACAAGTGCTAGAGAACGACTAAGTGAACGAACGCAGAGATCCCTCCTACCCTGTGCTTAGCCCGTAGTCTAGCTTCCGTTGATAGAGTTATCTCCGCACTGCGTAGGGACCACTAGACTCAAATGAATCCTCGGGAAAAGAGCCGGTGAGTCAGTGGTCAACAACAAGTGGAGTGGGCTGTGTGGTGGAGTTCTGAAGCCCGAACCGCTGAAGGACCTGCTGCACCATGTGTGACAGTGAGAATGTAATGGTGCGAGCGGCTCTGTCCCAGGTGATCTGCAAGCCAAGTTAGCGGCGCAGCTCACCAAGGTCAGTGCACATGTGTCTCTTCTGCAGTTCGGACTTCACCTCAGCCAGAGCGGCCCTGTCTGCTGTGACAAAGACCAAGTCGTTGACGTAGACAAGGATGAAGAAAGGTGTGGGCCTCAAACGAACGAACAACGACGGGTCGACGGACGAAGGACGAAACTCGAGGGCAGCAAGAGTGGTGCGCAGCGTGTCGTGCCACTCACGGGGCGCCTGGCGGAGACCGTACACTGGTCGTCTCAGGCTCCACTGGGTCCCAGGCAGGAAAGTGAGCCAGGAGGACAACGCAACCAGATCTCCTCGTGCATGCTACCCTGGAGAAAGGCAGTGGAGAAGTCGAGGGAGTGCAGCTTGTAGGCTCGCTGTGCTGCAACGTGAAGTAACACCCGAAGAGTAGTCATATTCGGGGTCGGGGCGAAGGTCTGGAAGAAGTCAACTCCCTCACGGTGACTGAAACCTCTAGCCACGTAGCGCGCCTTGAAGACATGCGGCGATCCAGGCGGCCTCTTCACCTTGAAGATCCACATGCCGTCGACTACGTTCGCCCTGGGAGGGGGAACTGCGTCGACGTAGGTGCCTGTGGATCTCCAAGACGCCATCTCTGAGTCCATGGCCGCTTTCCACTGAGAGGCCCACTGCCCTGACACTGCGTCACGATACGTGCGAGGAGTCGGAATATCAAGGGTGTCGGGGTCTCCCTCAGGGGAAAGCAGCATGGCATAGAGAGAGGGAGAAGCGGCTGCCAAGAACTCCTACTCGTACTGCCTGTCCTCTAGGACGTCACAGCCAAGGGCAAACCCACCCCCGGCGGACAGAGGACGGGCAGGCGGAGCAGGCACTACAGGCATGGCAAAGTCAAGGAGGCGGGTGACAGCAAAGTCAGCGACAGCGGCAGTAAGAGCCGAGACAGAAGACGGAGAGGCACCCGGGTCGGTGACAAGAGAGGCGAGAACACGCGAGACATCAGGACGAGCAACACGGTAGTAGTCAGTGATAGGGTGAGAGGAGACAGTGAGAGACGAAACAGGGGGTGGCGGGAGAACATACACTTATGGAGCACGATGGGGACTAGAACGAAACAAGACAGTTCGGAGGTCGTCAAAAGGAGAGGAGGGACGCGCACGCGGAGGACAACGAGTGGTCCAGTCATGCGGGAGAACAGGAGGATGCGACTGTGACCGAGGAGGAGAGAAAACAGCCGGAGCCGAGTCCGGAGGAGGAAACGTAGGACCGCACGCGATAGGAGACTGTGAGCGGACATGAGGAGAGGAAGGAAGACCAAGGGCCTGAAGGCCACTAACTGGTGGGAACATCTGCTGCAAAAGGGGCGGCTGCTGCGGCTGCTGCTGCTCCTGCCGGTCTAGCTGCCGCAGATCCTGCCTCTCCTGCTCCAACCGCTCCTGCTCCTCGCGCTCAAGCCGGGGAAGAGCCTGGAGACGCGTGTCGTAGCGGTGGGGAGGCGCATTGGGCGCCATAGTAGTAGTGCCTCTAGCTCCAGTCGCCTCAGAATAGCACCTCCAGTGCCAGCAACTCCAGCTCCAGCACCTCCAGCTCCAGCACTCCCAGAACTAGCACCACCAGTGCCAGCACCTCCAGCTCCAGTCCCCCCAGAACTAGCACCACCAGTGCCAGCACCTCCAGCTCCAGCACCCCCAAGACTAGCACCTCCAGTGCCAGTACCTCCAGCTCCAGCACCCCTCGATCGATCACCCCCAGACCGAGTACCTCCAGTAGCAACACCTCCAGTTCCAACACCCCTTGAGTCCACAATAACCTGTCGCGGAAGTGCCGAAGGCTGCTGAGGGGACTGTGAGGAGGACTGCGGGGAGGGAGACGCTACCTGACGCACGACCAAGGGTAGAGGGGTAGCATAAGACACACCTGACAGGGTAGGAACAGGGGGGGGCAGGGGTATCGGAGGAGC